CGTTCCAGCTGCAGCTGTACGCCCCCAACTTCCTCAGCGCTGGCTACGACCTGCCCACCATCAGCCGCATGACCCCTGAGGTGAGCTGCCCAAAGGCTGGCCGCCAGCCACGACCCGGAAACAGATCCCCCGCCTCCAGCTAATGGGCTGTTCCTCTAACTAGGACCTCACGGCCATTGGGGTCACCAAACCAGGCCACCGGAAGAAGATCACGGCAGAGATCAGCAGCCTCAGCATCCCCGACTGGCTGCCTGAGCACAAACCCGTAAGGCTCCCTGCACCCTGTGGCTGGGCCCAGGATGGGCAGATAGACAGACAGACTGTCTCCCTGGCTACAGCCCTCACCTGCCCTCTGGAGCTCCAGGGAGTGGAGACCAGAGGACGGTCCCTCAGTATGGCCCACCTGCACGACGTTTGTCCATCACAGGCACTGGGACCAGCCTTCCTGAGGCAGGAACAGGGGTGACAACCTGTGAGGGCCACCAGGGTGAAGGGAGAATACCTCTCTCCACTCCGTGCTCCTGCAGAGACCCCCCTCCATACTCAGGCAGTCACACAGGGACACCGGCATCCCAGCAACGCTGCCCCTTGCACACCTACCCAGGCACCAGAGAGGGGCCTGCATTGATGGGATATGCTTGCACACAGCAGACTTCTGCATGGGGAAGATGTGTGAGTGTGCATGCTCCATGTACACAGGCAGCACACGCACACTAAATATATTCAAGGTGCCCATTGATGACCGCACGCACACACCCACACATTTAACTGCACGTGCCAGCTGTGTTGACAGCTGACACCCACTCTAACTGCAGGCCATGCTATTACTGACAGGCACTCATATGTTGGAACCGGTTCTGGGCCAGGAGAAGGTAGGCTCAGGGCCTGTTGCCTCAATGCTGCCTCTCTGGTTCTCACGCAGAGCTGTGATTCCCCATCCACTGATGGGGGTGATGCCATGACCACCAAAAGCCCCCAGGGCTGTGGGTCAGGGACAGGTAGGTTGACACTCATCTGCCTTGCCGCACTCAGTCAGTGGCTCAGCGGTCCTCCGGGTGAGCACGTCGGGGTCCCAGGGTCTCACTTGGCTCTTGCGGATATGCTGTGCGTTGGTACGTTAGCGATGCCCTGCTGGGCATGTGGACAGGTGGATGCCAGTCAGGAAGCCGCTGGGCGGTACTGGGTGAAGACTCTCATGGCTGTTTGCACACGTGTGTGGTGTGGCCGCGTGACTGCCTGATGCGGGTGGGAAGTTGTGAGAGGGTGTGAGCGTGACACAGAGGGAAGTCAGTGCCCGTGTGTGGCTGTGATCCAGGGTATGCGTGGACACGTATCTGGTTGGTGGTACTGTGTATCTGCGTCCATGATGTATGGTGTGTGTCCACTGGGTGCTGTTCCCATGGTTGCCTGGACAGGTGAGGAGGAAGTGCAGTCTTTCCCAAACGGTGTCCTGAAGATAGGGTGGCCCTGTGTGTGCGTGTGTGTGTGTGTGTGCACATGCACGTGAGCTGGACTTGGGCTCCTGCTGAGGCTGCGCTGTCTCCAGGGCTGACACTTCTGTTGGTTTGTCCTCTGTTTGTCCGTACCGGGCTGGCCCGATGCCCCTGCCCCAGCAGCTCCCAGTCGTCGATGGGCTGTGGGTAGCCAGCTCTGGCTGCCCTCTGTGTCCCCTGCTCTGTATATAGGCTAACCTGGCTGTGTGGCTGTCCATGATCGGCCTGGCCCAGTACTACAAGGTGCTGGTGGACAACGGCTATGAGAACATCGACTTTATCACCGACATCACCTGGGAGGACCTGCAGGAGATTGGGATCACCAAGCTGGGTGAGGCTCCAGCCCCCACCGCTTCCTGGTCCTTGCCACTCTCCCTGGCCTGACCTGCCCCATCCCCCACTCAGGACACCAGAAGAAGCTGATGCTGGCAGTGAGGAAACTGGCAGAGCTGCAGAAGGCCGAGTACGCTAAGTATGAAGGGGGACCTCTGCGCCAGAAGGCGCCGCAGTCGCTTGAAGTGATGGCCATTGAGTCGCCGCCCCCTCCTGAGCCTGCCCCAGCTGAGTGCCAGTCTCCAAAGATGACCACCTTCCAGGACAGCGAGCTCAGTGGTGAGCTGCAGGCTGCCATGACTGGCCCGGCAGAGGGGGCCGCCACCCCTGCCGCCGCCGAGAAGCCCTCCAATCACCTGCCACCCACCTCAAGGGCCTCTGTGCGTCAGGAGCCCAGTCTGGGCGGGCGGGCACGGCATATGAGCAGCTCTCAGGAGCTGCTGGGTGATGGGTTCCCGGGGCCTGGCAGCCCTATGTCACGAAGCCAGGAG